AGTGGAATGGCCCTTGAATGTGTGATTAATTAATTAAATTAACACAATTCGGGCTCTGTTATTAATTCATCCCAAACTTTACTTCAGTCCGGATGAGCCTTCAGATGATTCTCATCTTCATGACATTTGTACAATTTTAATAGAGTCGGCGAAGAAAATACTGCCAGGCAGATAGACACAGATTAGACAATTATTACATTGTAAGACAGAAGATCGCTAGTCGAATTCTTGATATCTGAACAATTAAGAGTAAGTGGTAGACAGGTCACAGAAGGTCATAGTGGCACCTCTCATTCAGTTCCAATTCAAAAGCATGGGGACTCTACAATCTGATTTAGGTCCTTGCAAGAACTTTCGGGCGCCTGCCCGGTTATCTCTCGATGTTCAGATTGAACCACCTTCCATTGGGGATCTATGGCGATATGATATAGCGTTCACACTAACCAGATAACTGTGCGAGTAGCCAATGTTTATATTACCGGCTTCGCTCTATCAGACATTTGGCTTGAACTGGCGAATTCGGAGGAGCGAAAGAGAACTTCTGCGTTACGGTAGTGCGAGGGACATTCACTGCTATTGCGTCACAGGCCCGAGACGAGATTGAAACTAGAAGCCGTCAATGGTCAGCAGGTACTGCAAGCTCAGGGCAGCAAGTCATGCGAATTGGCTTTACACGTAATTGTCACGCAGTCACGCAACTGATGGACGTGTGTTTTGAACGTTAATGGATTTGGTCACAGATTGTTTTCATATTTCATGGCCACATGGCTGTTATCCGTTACGTAGGATTGAGATTCATGAGAGTAGCACACAAATATTGAGTTTTTCACTGTGAGGAACAATTGATTACTAAGCCTTGCACCAGTTTTCTACAGACGCTGGATATGCTGGCTTCGCTGTGCTCTTCGCTTGGACTGCGTGTGTTGAGACTTGATGGGCAGACACCGATTGCCGATGGCAAGCTTTGGTCACGAGGTTCAACTCAGAAAAATCCTGAGAATGTGTTCCTGCTCAGCACAAAAGCCGGCATGTTCTACTGTTCTTTAGTAAGTTTACGTTGGTACTTACTGAAATTAGATTTCTCTTCCTCAGGAGGTGTGGGTTTGAATCTGATTGGAGCCTCACGACTGATCCTTTTCGACTCTGACTGGAACCCCGCATTCCGATCTACAGGCCATGGCAGATCTTGGAGATGGATGCAAACGAGACCGTGTCATATTTACAGCTTGTGACTGCGGTAAGCTGACATCGATATGTTATTTTCTTTATCGGTTTCACGAAGGGAGAACATCTTCCAGTGGTACGATGATGTGTCTAGCTGATCTAAGTTTCAAAACATTTTGAATGCAGAGACGAGGAAGATTAAATATGTTTATTAGTCACATATTGGGCTGAGGGTTACCTTTAACCGCGTAAGACCAACTTCTTGCAAGCAGTCAAGACAATTTCTCCAGAATGTGTTAAAACCTTGATGTGTGTTCAATATTTACAATTCCTTTCCTATTACGTTCTTTATCTTGACTGAAGAATTGCCCTATTTTTAGTGCACAGTGGATGAGAAAATTCTTCACCGCCAGATAAAAAAGACTGGATTGACGTCCATGATCAATCTAGTTGATCAGTCATGTAAGTATTTAATTGTTATCAATTGTTAATTTAATTGTTTTTATTTGTCAACTGCTGTTTTAAAGGCGGATTTTACGATGTAAAGGTAGCCGAATGGAAATATGGATGTAGGTGGTCAGTGAAGCAGGGATGAAGAAACCATGTGAAACGGCCCAGAACCCGAGAAATGGGACCCCTTCCTTGCCCGTTGATTTCCGCATTGATGCGACTCTCATCGTTGTGCCCTCTTCAACGCTACGCTCTCTCTGCTATCTAATCACTCGCCGCGTATAGACCTGCGGCGAGTGATTAGATAGTCGGTGGGCGTTCCGCCCAATTGCGCCAAAGGGAAGGCCATGCTAGATCGCCGGGGCATATCCTTCGATGCGAATTGCGTGCTGGTCCGCACCTTAGGGGGTCCGCATGTCTCTCCACTAGGTAAGTTTCCCTTCTTCGACTTCTTATCGTGGAATCCTCCGTTAACGTCGCAGTTTCCTTTGAAAATATTTTACGATCTATGCTAAATCTACTATTCAAGCTGAACCAGGTGAGATGGTGCATCGGTAGTGTAATTGGTAGTCCGAGAGCCTGGAAAGCAACCGGTTCCTTTCCCGCATGGAGCGAAAACTTTACGTATAGCTCAGCATTCTTGTCAAACAGTTGTGTAGGCCTGGAAAAACGGTTTAGCTAAACTCCAGAGCAGGCTGCTGCGAGCTTTGAGGTTAACAGAGCAATATTGTTTCTCTAGTTGTTTTGACCGAAAACGCCACTGTTCACAGTTGCAGCAACAGTTCAATTGCCGTCGTACGAACCCGTGTGTACCGTTAGATCACGGTGTGGTGACTCACACTCTTGGCGTGCTCAACGAGAGACACTCCCAGTAATTAGTTCGGACGACAGTTTCTCACCCTCTTAGCCTCTTTTGTGGGCCATGTCAGAGTGTTTGGATCCTCATCGGTCACTATGCTGAGACAACACCTCGTATCGACTGCTACATAATTTATCGTCGCGCGACTCACGAAAATATGCTCGTCGCTGCGCAATGACCAACGAAACATTCGCGGTAATAACACGCAAATATCTGTTCAAGTTTTCAGCCAAGCCGTCATTCGTGGATGAAGAACTTGAAAGCATTTTCACTGTAAAAGAAGTGGAATGTGAGACCCATGATCTCCTGGAATGCCACTGCGGTGGTTGTGGATTGCTGCCGGACGAAGTGGATGACGATCCAGGTAATGAAAGAGTGTTCCATTATTGTAGGCATCTAACAAGGGAGGTCGTTCAGGGTGTGGAAAGCTTTTTCAAAACAGTTTTCTGTATGTTATAGGAGCTCATGCGTAGACCACAGAACCGAGCCTATTTTCGCTGAGTGGCCTCGCGAAGGCCAAGGTTCAATCCCTCGTGATGACAAACTTTTGCATTTATGTTGGAGCTTTCAGATTTGCTCCAAATAGTGCCAGCGCATATAATAGACGCAAGGCTTTATCTCGATAGCTAGAGCGATTTCAAGGACTGCGACGTGGTGTGTTCTCTATGAAGCCGAACTTCGATTCCGTGAATCATCAGAGCATTCCGCTTCATTTCCGCGCCGCGCTCGTTTTCAAGTCACCCGCCGGCGTGCATGATGACCTGTAGCCCATGGTCACCCCCTTTTCGAAGTTAGGTCAAAATCTCGATTTTTCCTGAAATTTGGCACAGGGGTATCAGGTGCCGATCACGAATCACG